TAGGGTTTCAAATCGCCCGTAACGAGTTGACTGACGTTGACCTAGGGTTACGCGTCGACCGGGGTTTACCTAGGGCTTCGGATCACCTAATGTTAACATGGTTTATACTCGTACGTTTGCTGGAGTATACACAGTTTAAGCTCTTAAGGTATTGGAGCATGGCGGTCCTAAATATTGGGGTTGCAGGACCAACTGTCAAAGCTGATTCATCTGCAGATATGGATCTTATCCCAAAGTTGTTAGATGCTCGAGTCATGAGACCAGTTAATAAAGCTGGTGCGTCAATGACTTTTACATATATAGGAGTTTTGGTAAACCCTCAGCCATCAATGGATTTGATGAGCCTTTACCGACTACCATTTGAGTCGGGCTAGCATGCAGATTGTTTAAATGTGTTCTGCATGTAACATTGTGCTAAAAGAGTTAACTCCTTTAGTGCTATGATATTGAATGCGTAGACTTCGTCTTTCTTACGGGAATAGACTACCCGACGACGTGTGTTAGACATAGACTTAGGATTTTTGTCCAATCCTCAGCCATCAATGGAATTGATGTGTCTTTACCGATTACCGTTTGAGTCGGGCTTGCATGCGGATTGTTTAAGTCCGTTCCGCATGTGACGTTGTGCTGAGAGAGTTAACTCTCTTAGTGCTACAATATTGAATATGTAGACTTCGTCTTTATTATGGGGATAGACTACCCAACAACGTATGTTAGGTGATAACTTATCCCTACTTAGGCTTTGGGATAAAATTCCCCAGACTAGAATTCTGATGTCTTCTTCAATCGGCGAAAGACTAAACTGGCAACACGTGTTAGGCGTTGACTTATCCCTACTTAGGATTTGGGATAAAATTCTCCGCGCGTGTGAAGCACGGATTTTAGTGTTATTAATAACAACCTGTCATAATGTAGAATATATGGGTTTTTGTCCTTTTTACGGTCAAGGACTAACCGACAACGCATGTTAGGTGTTGGCTTTGTTAGACCCTAGAGGGGGGGGGGTGATTAGGGTCTTATGCTAATCTAATCCGATTAAATGCCAATTAAAATTAATTAACAACTATATTCTTGCAAGATAGATATACAAAGAGTTATGTGCAAGAATATGCAATATACACAAAGTGATATATCCTATATGATAGAGATATATGCAAGGATATATAAACAATACAAGGGTAAATAATCTAAACAAGATAGTGGATGAAATAAATGAGTAATGCACAATTGGCGATATAAGATAAATGCAAAAACGAATACGCCAAAGACAAACTCAAACAAGCAATATGATCACGGAGTTCGGACCTTCCGTCCTACGTCTCCGCTCCCCACTCCCGGGGAGAAATCCACTAACACAATCCGGTTTGGAAGCCGGAACTTCTTCTACACACTCGGTTTTCTAGCTAACCGAAAACTCTACAACTCACACTCTTGCAATCACACTCTACACCCACTAAGTGTTGGACCTAGCCGTGTCTCCCTCAAGTGCTCGGTTACAACCTCTCCCTAGGCACGTCAACCGACGCCACTCCTCTTGGGACGATCCCCGACTCTCACCACACACTCCTCACTCGGTGTACAAGAGTATTACAAAGTGATTTAACAATTAAGCACAATATAGCAAATGATTGTTCTCTCTAACAAGGTGAGAACTCAATTAGGCTCAACTCAATGTCACACTATCCCACAACCCAATTATATAATGTATGCAAATACAATAAGCTCAATGGTTGTGTGTGCAAACAAAGAGTAAATCAAATCAAACTAAACTCAATATAAAACTAGCTTTAATAGAAATGATAATCAACAAATAATTATAAATAAAAGCTAGACTTGAGTTTAGGAAAACTTCTCTAGATCAAGATGGAGAGATGGAGATATGAAGCCCAAACAAGAAGATGATCTCCTCCACTTGTGAAAATAATCTTCAAACCAAACAAACACTAAAACTCACTTAAACCCTTGTTTAAAACTCTTTAAACTTGTTTAAAACATTTCTTGAGTTACCTTAGAGGTATGAGGGCATGGGGTATATATAGGCTCATGAAACAACCCCAAAAACCAATAAAAACACCCCCAAAACATTAAAATAAACAAAAAAACAGAACTAGCTGTTACTGTAGCAAGCAATCACATGCCTAGTTCAGTATGTGGGAGTAACCGAATAAGTATCCAAGTAGACAAAGATCTTTAAGTTGTCCTTGATCTTCTTTTATCAATGTGCATGTTCATATTTCGAATTCTTCAAGCTATTCAGCTAAGTATACCTTGAAATTTATAGGCAAAGCTAGCACTGAACAGAGATCACTGTGAATAGCAATTATGACATCTACTAGATGAACAGATTAGCTTTTTTAAACTATCTGCAAATCATGAAACAATTAGCAAGACGTTTTTTCAAGGATAAAGTTTGTGTTGCACTGGTTATTTTTCGCTAGAAAATACTCAAGTTATGAACATGGGTTAACTTGCATACACTAAACAAGGTTGATCTAATTTTTTTTCATATAAGTTCAGATGCAAAGATTAAGAGTGATAGAATCACCTCAGTTGTCATAGCTTTGTCAAGGCAATCATTTGTGTGAACTTGTCGCTGCTCTTCGCTCAAATAAGTGATATTAGCGCCGCATAAGGGACATTCCACTAACCCATCCTTGTCCATCTCAAATGTATCGTTGTATAAACCATTCCTTTCAAATGAGAAATCACTAACACTTGAGCCACCTTCTCCAATTTCACAACAAAGATCCATTAACACATTAAGCTGAGTCCCCAGCTCCAAATCCCTATGACTATCTACAGCATCAGATGAATCACACTTCACCCTCGACCCCAACAACCTAGATTCAACTGACATAGAGTAATAACTAGCCTTTCCTATCTTTGAACACATTTTATCCTGACACCCCTCAAAATATTCCATTGATTTGGGATCTTTCTCCTTCTGTCTCAACTCAGCATTGCTAAAAGCATCTCCAGCATCTGTTGAACACAACTTAGCTTTCGATTCCAGCAGCCTCGACTCGATTGACATTGAGGAAGAGCTTCCTCTTTCTTCTTTCAAACTGCTGACCACCTCAAGAGGAGAGTGTGTGTTGATGTCAAACTGCACATTTTCACAATTCTCCATGGTCTTCAATTCTTCTGACCTTAAAATGTCCTCCTTGACCTCATCCCTCTCCTTGGACTCAATAGCAGCAGGACCTGTTAGCTCAAAAGTAGAGGAAACGCATATATCAGAAGAAGGGCTAGACTGGGTTAACCCTAACCCAGATCCAATTGGCCCCAGAAGCTGACACTTCTCGTCTCCCACTTCCTTGCTCTCATGAGAAACCCTAGAATTTTGCATTAATGTCTCATCGCTAAGCCCGTTCTCTTTGCTAAATTTAGAAATCTCAAGACCGCGCACATTAGAAACCCTAGAAGAATCGGACTTTGATACCCGCCTAGCTCTTCGATTCTCCTTTCCATTTGAAACCGAGGGTTTCTGCCTCTTTCGAGGCGGCGGCGCTCCGTTCGAAGGCCTCAACGGTTGGGAGAAATTAGGGTTTCGAAGGGACGACAAGATGAGATTTTGGGCAACGGCGACGGCTTGGCTAGGGTTTTGGAAGTCGTCGTCATCGTCCTCGGTCGACATTGGAACGTTTAGGGAATCGGGTGCTCTTGATTTCATAGCGGGTTTCGGATCCAAAGAGATTACGAGCTGCTTGAAGAGGCGAGGGAGTGAAGTGAGGAGGCGTATGGTATCTGGCCACCGCCGGTGAAATTTCGGGATCAAGTGTTTACATCTTGGCCGCCCATTTTGTGAAGGAGGGCGATGGATTGGCTCCCGCCAGAGTTGGTATTAAAATGGACGGCTACTTCGAATGGAGTGGAAATAAATGTTAGTGGGCTCTAAATATTGGTAATGGGCCTAATAGTGACTACCGTCAACGGCCTAATACTAATTTTGTTTTTTATTGATGTTCGGCCTTTTAAATCACAAGGTGAAAACATTAACGAAGACTAGAATTGACTTCTGAAATTTCGTTCAGAGAGAGAGAGAGGGAGATTGCATCGGCATTAATTGACATAACAGATCTAATATCCACATTCCTTTTTTTTGGTGTTCAGGGGCTGTTTAGTTCGCTATTATAAGGGGTGGAAAACTCAGAAAACCCCTCCACGTCAGATTTTTAACCCTCCACGTCAGCTTTTTTGTTTCCGTCCATTTCTTTGTGCCGTTTTGGTTCGCTCGAATGGAAGAGGGAAAACTCTGCTGAAATCGCCGCCAACTAAGATTTTTTCCCCTCTCCGATTTCCTTCCCCAACCAAGTGAAATTGATGAAAACTCTGTCACGTCAGATTTTTTTCCTTCTCTGCTTTGTTTACAAAAGTTTTCCTTTTTTTTCTATGCGAACCAAACACAAGAAAAATAAATACATTAGTTTCCCACCATTTTTTATGTGCGAACCAAAGCAAAACAATCTATTTCTTGGAAAAGTTTGAAAAACTCAAAACTTGTATTTCTTTACATGGAATTGTATTTTTCTATATCAAGAAAACGAACCAAACAGCCCCTCAATGTAAGACTTTTTTTTCCAATTTTTTATGAGTTGCTGTCAGTTACACTAATATCCACTTTCTTGTTAATGTCAGTTTATTTTTCCAATTAAAGATTTTCTTTCTTTTTACCAATTTTTCACACCATGAGGTTCTGCCAGTACCATTCTACCTATTTATTATCCTATTTGATCGGCAATATCTATGAGAAATTGTTAGTGTCATGTTATATGTATCTGAGAATTTGTTAATCTAATCTTAAGGTGTTATTATCTTAATATTCTCTTGAAACAATACAAGGGAAGAAATTAAATACAGTATTTATGACCAAATAGGTTTCTCTTGAAAGTGAAGTGTAAACTAAGATAAGGAAACCTATAAAAAAAACAAAATAAAGGTGACACAAATTACAGAAATTATAAGGAAAACTACCAGCAATCACAAACATTAATCTCTGTTCTAACTAGTAAAGTGGCAAAATAATTCTGTATTACAAAAGCTATAAAAACCGGCATAATAATTCTGCATTACAAAAGCTATACAAATCCTAGAGGTACATCAGATTTCTAACATTGTCATAAGAATTCCATATGCTAGCATTCTAGTGAGATTGACAGTGAGACTTCATTCTTTTTCACCTAAGCCTGGATTCAATTCCCTTGTTTCGAAAAGTTGAGAGAGAAAAGAAAGACCGAGGTGCTGCAAGACATAAGATAATTTTCAGTGTATACTCGAATCACGAGCAATAAAGGATACCTAAGAGGAAAGAAATTAACAAACAACTAAACTGAGCACTATATTTTTACTGAATTTCGAAAATGAGTTCATGAGTAATTACATCTAGGGGAGATTTCTGATAAATGATCCTTCCTCAACTTGGACTGTGCGGGAGTAGGTATCGGTCTTCTTCGTGGGGTTTGAACTGCAAAAAGTTACTTCCTACATTCAGTTTCTGAACTTTGCAGATAATGCATAACTAAAAGAGTACCAATAATGAGATAACAAGTCATAAACTACTCAAATATCTACATTTCATCTAATCATATATCTGAAACCTTTAAAGGATAAGCGTATATACCTTGTTCAGGCATGCTCATTCCCTCACTGTAACTGAAACCATCATAAGCATCAAATGCGCAATCCACGTTCAAACCCCTTGTTTGCTCCGATACCAGACCACAACCAACTTCAGTATCATAATCCGCACCCAATACCCGATAAGCTTCTCTACTCTTCTTCCCAAAGTGCAGAAACCTCTTCAACCCTTTTGTACCTGATCCATCAGGAACAAGTACAGGTTTCTCGACGATACCCCATTTCTTTCTCGCTCGAGTAGAAGATGTACTTTCAGTAGGAGAGTCTAGTTGCTGATCGATCCTTGAATTTCGCCCAATTTGCTCCTTAGTAGTCTTTATTGGTGTAAGAGGAGCAACCGAGCTTTTTCTCAATGAAGATGACGAGTTGTTGGTGCCTGAACTCGTGCTTTTGCTTCGAGGGATTTTATTTGGTTGAACTTGAGGCTTTGTGTTCTCCTTTCTGAATTCGCCTCTTAAAGAACGAGACATTAGAGGTTTGGATGAAGGTTTAGGGACTGAAGAGGATGAGGTCCGATAAGTTGAGGATGATGTAGTTCTTGATTTGAGCATTTTTGCGTTGGTGCTGTTGGAAGAACTGTCAGTGGATTGTATGTCTTCGTTGTCTTCAGCAAGCATGGAAACTGTTATCTGTTGGTACAAGTGGAGAATAAGCTGAATTAGAAATAAAACAGACAGAAAACTTTATTGTTTCTTGTATTTCTCGAGGGAAACTCGAACAAAAGATAGAATCAAACACACTTATGTTTTAGGAATTTAACGCCTAAACCCCTAATGCAACAGAAACGCAGTATAGAAAAAGTACACCAAGATTTAACGAGGTTCGGCAACTGCCTACGTCCTCGGGAGCCACACAGATAATTTCTTATTAATTAAACAAGAAATTACAATTTAGGAGCGTATCTCAAAACTGAGATTTCTCAGATAAACACTGTAGCTACAGTGTTAATAATCAAAGGGTATGAACCCTTTCAATTTTCACTTGAGAACAAATGAATAACCCACTATAAAAAACCCCTTTTTATATTCCTCTCTCTCCTTAAATCTTTTTCTTAATCTCCCCTCAAAATCAATTGAGCGCTGGAGATGGGAACGCTGCTGCGTTCTTGGTCGCCGCCAGAAGAAAAATCGGAGGAGGGGTAAAAAGCTACAGCCTCCGAAACCCTAGCGGGGGGGTTTAAATAAGCGATGAGGGGATGAGCTGGCGACAGCCTGTCGCCAGCGACCCGCGGACGCCAAAAGAAGGGGGGCGAACGCAGAGGTCGAAAGACGCAGAGCTCGAATGGGGGGTCGAACGCAGACTTCGAAGGGTGCGTTCGCCCAACTCTGCGTTCGCCGAAGTGTGCGTTCACCGAAGGATGGCGTTCGCCGTCTTCGCCTGCATCATCTCCGCCATTCTCGAGCTCGTCGGAGCTCCTCCGCCGTCGGTGATAACCGGAGCTCGCCTGCGGTTCGTCGCCCACGCACGCCTGCAACATCCATGAGCTCGCCGGAGCTCTTCGCCGGTGCAGAGGTTGGTATCCACCCCCAAATTAACAGTAGCAATGCTTGAGAAATAAATGTATGATACTAAATCCTATTTATTATGACCTAGTGTCATTGGTATTAGGACAAACGGATCAAACTCTTAATATTAGCTGTTGATTTGTCTGCAAATTTGCTGCATGCATCTCACAGTAATTTCTTTTAATTTTCATTTTAAAGGTTACAAAATATATTTTCACTTTTTTCCCTTCTAAATTTGGCTTTTGTGCTGCAGAGATCTCTCCTTCAATTCTCTAACGGGTGATCTTCCACAGAACTTTAATCAACTATCAAGTTTGACTACCCTGTAAGCTTAATATTAACAATTCTTGTATTTAAACTCTATACCTACAGACTGTTGATTGACTATTCGGCTACCATGCAGTCATTTACAGAACAACCAGTTCACTGGTTCGATAAATGTTCTTGTAAGCCTCCCTCTTGAAGACCTGTAAGCACATGTTCTGCTCCACCTGCGATTGTTTCTTTTGCAAAGGAAAAGTTTGACATCAGAATTCAGTAATCATGTACTCTTGATTCAGGAATGTCGCAAACAATCATTTCTCAGGATGGATTCCTAACCAGTTGAAAAAGATCAATAATCTTCAGTGAGTACTTAATGCACGTGACGGTAAAGCATGCAGTCCAAATTATATTACATATTGTTTAGGGTAAATTTCACTAATCCCCTTGAACTTGAAGGCTTTTCCACAAAACTCCACTGAACTTTATACACCATAGAAAACCCTCCTGAACTTTCAAATCATACTGAACTCAGCTGAACTATTTGAAATTCTCATAAATGGAATTAACAGATTAAAAGTCTGAACTACCCCTTTTATTTTTTTGACCTACCCTTACCCAAAAAGGATAATATAGAAGCTATATTTAGTAGACAGGGGTAAAATTGTCCAAAATTTGTCATGTATTGTGCGCCACACGGGCAACTAAAAGTAATATTATCAAACGTGGCACTTAAACGAGACAAGTTTCAGGGGCTTTAATATGACTTACAAAATTCTGGGTTGCGGGGTGGGGGGAGGGGGTTGGTTGTGAAGTTTATCCTTATTCTTTATTGCTGACTGAACCAACTTACAGGACTGATGGCAACTCATGGAACAATGGGCCGGCACCTCCACCGAGCCGCAAAGTTGATCCTGGTAGTAATTCTGGAGGCTAAGATGGTCCATCAGGAGGCAAAAAGAGTTCTGGTATAGGTGGCGGGGGGCATAGCAGGTATTATTATCTCTCTTTTGGTTGTCGGTGCAATAGTTGCATTCTTCCTGGTGAAGAGAAGAAGGCAGAAATCATCCATCAGAGGACATCACGAGCAAGACCAGCCTTTCACCCCTCTTGCTTCAAATGAAGCCAAAGGTAATGGTATTCCTCAAATAAATCTACATTTCCGTTGTCCAGTGATTTAGTGTTGGGGATGTATTTATATTTACCACTAGCTCCTAGAATCTGGTTTTCTTAGCCTTGTTTGGTAAAATATTTGATCTTTTAATTTGGTGGATTTTAGTGGTAGATTTTATTTAGGTTGATTTTGGCAGTGTCTTCTGTCTGTATTTATATTAACATATGATTATATAAAGGAGTACTGAAATACATTGCATGGAGGACCTTTCAGGTAATAAACTAAACTCGGGAAGATTTTTTGTCAAGTACTATTGAAAAGCTACAGCGAAGAAATAGTTGATAAGTTCTAGATTTGAAATTGCATTTAGAAAATCATTCTTCATTTCAGTTAACAAAATCATGTTAAAAACTTTCCTCAACTTTTGAAAACTATAACATGGATTGATGAACTAATTTACCTATAATTGCACATTACAGAGATGAAGTTGAACCGGACATCCTATGCAACTAACACAATGTCATTTCCACCAGCTGCTCCTGTAAACCTTAGACCACCTGCAATTGATCGGCATAAATCATTTGAAGAAGATGAGTTATCTAACAAGCCTGTTGTCAAGAAAACTAAATCAGCTCCTATAAAAGCAACTGTATATTCAGTAGCAGACCTGCAAGTGGCAACGGATAGTTTTAGCTTAGATAACCTTGTTGGTGAAGGGTCTATTGGGCGTGTCTATATATAAGGCTCGATTCAATGGAGGAAAGGTATGTTTTTTTAAAGTTTTGCTTTCAATTTGAGATCCTTACCTGTTATTATTTATAGATTTAACGCCTGATAATGGTCTTCTTTTAAAAATCTGATCTTCAGAAGCTAAAAAAGCAACATGGTAATTTATGAGATAACTATAGTGAAATTGTGTAGCTGAAGTTAGAAAATACAAAATTTGCCTCGTTTTACTTTTTGCTATGGCAAGTGTAATGAATTTGGTTTTGGATTTGACTGATGTGAAAACTAAAAGAATGCAATATCCCTCTCATTTGTTTATACTTTTTCTTAAGGGTTAATTGCGGATATTCCACCCTGTACTATCGCCAAATTGAGCTTACTACCTCTGTAGCTCTATTGTTGCAGATAGACCCATGAGTGGATTTTTTATACCCTTTTCAGGGGATTTATATGCAACAATAGATATTTGCTGAGGGGTTCCTTTTTGAATAATAGAACCCTCTCAGGAGTCTATCTGCAACAATAAAACTGTAAGGAGAGCAAGTTGAATTTGGTGATAACACAGTCTTATCTGCAGCCAACCCTTTTCTTAAGTTTGTTTTCCCCTGTGGGACTGATGTTTCAGTCTTCCCATAAAGAAGATTTATAATGTTTAGTTCCTCCATATAAAGTCCCTGTGGGACTGATGTTTCAGTCTTCCCATAAAGAAGATTTATAATGTTTAGTTCCTCCATATAAAGTCCAGTCCTGTGTGGGTAATTATATGTGGTAGTAATGTGAAAGAGGTGAATGTGAATAAATAATTTGTACATGGTAGTAATGTGAAAGAGGTGAATATGCATTTATGCCTTGATTGTATTTGTAGGTTCTGGCTGTGAAGAAAATAAACTCTTCTGCCTTGCCCAGCAACTCCTCTGAGGACTTCATTGATCTAGTTTCAAACATTTCACTGTTGCACCATCCAAATATTACAGAACTGGTTGGCTATTGTTCTGAACATGGACAACACTTGCTGGTGTACGAGTTTCAGAAGAATGGCTCGCTTCATGATCTGCTTCACCTCTCTGATGAAGACAGCAAACTGTTGAGTTGGAACACTCGTGTCAAGATTGCACTTGGTACTGCAAGAGCACTAGAGTAAGTAAACTAGTTATTTTATTTTTTATTTCTGAATTAATTGCAGATAGACCCCCTGTACTATCATCTAGTTGTGGATAGAACCCCTGTAATTCTATTGTTGTTGTGACTCTTTTACCCTTAGGAGGTCTATTTGTGAAAGAAAAACCATTCTTGCATATAGATCCTGCAAAAAAAAATTTAAATGAAACCAATAATTAATGTATAAATGCTTTAATCGGTGTTTGCTCTTTTTGACCATGAGAAATGAGTCTAATTTTTTTTATGGGACTGCAAACGATGCTATCTCCAGGTATCTTCATGAAGTTTGTTCTCCATCATTTGTACATAAAAATTTCAAATCAGCCAACATTTTATTGGACATGGAGCTCAACCCTCACCTTTCAGATTCTGGTCTTGCAAGCCTCACCCCTGATGCAGAATATCAGGTAATGCTAAATCATGGTTCCATGTCATTGCTATCTACCACATCTCACTATTTTCTCTGATATTTTCTTATTGATTCCAGGCATTGGATCATAACATGGCATCTGGATATGGTGCCCCTGAGTGTAGGCGTCTAAAATTGTCTACGAGAGCCCGCACGAAGCTCGAAGCAATGAATGGGCGAGTCAAGAAGATTCGTCAAATCAACGCGCGCACGTCAATCAACTCGTGCGTGCCGGTCAACGCACGCACGTCAATCAACGCGTGCGCGTCAGTCAAACACGTGCACGTCAAACCAACTCGTGCGCGCCGGTCAACGCGCGCACGTCAACCAACTCATGCGCGCCGGTCAACGAGTGCACGTCAAATCACCTCGTGCGCGCCAGTCAACGCGCGCACGTCAATCAGCCCGCGCGCATCGATCAGCACGCGTATATTAATCAACGCGCGTTCGACG